CTACATCATCCGAGAACTCAGGAAAGGAACACACACTCGACTTGTACTGCTTGGATGTATATTTCTACTATCGATTATATTCCTTCTAACTCACTGAATCCAGTAATAACACGGGAAAGCGCGTGAGAGGTGGATTCATTGAGTTAACACTTTCATCATTAGTTTTAGTCTCACAATCCTAATTAGAGCAATCTAATAAACACTACTACTAAAGAATACTACTACTACAAAGTACACGTTATTTCGTGCACCCTATTTGTGATTATTTTTAAGTCACVATGCGCATTCCTTCTGCGCACCAAATTATTCTGCCTGTATTCAACCCATATTCACTCATCCTCCACTCCATATTTTTATTTTGGGGGGTTGTGATACACAACCTCAACTGATACAACAACAGTTCTCCGGACCAGGACTCTTGGGTCGAAAAAGCAAGATGCACACACGCAATTAGTATTACTACTCTCAAATAAACTTTTATTATTCACGATGAGTGTCAACGATTTGCTAGTCTACAGTTCTAGAATTAATTTAAATCCCGTGGCTATTTGTAGCATTTTGATACTTTCTCACCAGGAACCACCGCAACCACAACTGTATCTTGTGTGGTTCTGGGCACTAAACCATGACCCGTTTTTACCTTTTTGGACTCCCTTGTAATCCTTTCCTTTCCTTCTTTATCACTCAACAACTTATTCAATTTTGCGTTTTCCCTGAGGAGGTGAGCAATTACATCGCTGGCACTACTGACACTACTTCCATTGTCAAGGCACATGTCGTCAGTGCTTGAACCTTTTGTAGTTCGACCACCACCAGTCCCATTCTGCCCAATATTGGTGAACTCAGTAGTAGACCTCTTAHGGTTATTTACCTGTTTTGTTTCTACATCCCCACCTTTTTTTTTCTGTGTCGTTGACCTGGTTTTTTTACCCTCGGTTCTTGGTTGTTGACTTTTACGGGTGTTCATGTTTACAGAAGAAGCTTTGTTTTTCCAAAATGAGTGCTTTTAACGTGATTTCTGWTCATCCGTTGTTTTTCTGAGAGCTTTGGTTGGTGGGTTTACCACCAGCATCACCAATCCACCCCGTCATGCTCTCTTCTTATACTGTCCTACAGCAAGCCTGCAGTGCCGCGCCAATTTTTTAATACATATTTTGTGGTAAGTAGTTAAACCATCGTTTTGACAGTAGCAGTGGTGGTACAGAATTTTCCTACTAGGATATCAGTAAACCAATTATTTTTGTTATCCCTACTACTACTAGTAGTACCACTTGTTTCACTGCAGCAGGCACAACAACATGCAGTATATTTAGTAATTTAGTAGAAGTACTAATAGTAGCTAAATTCTTTGTAATGGAACAAATTAAGATCTATAGTAGTTGTTCTTTGGATGGTTTGGGTTGAAAATTGTGTGGTTGGATTCTACAGAATTCTGGTACATCTCACCGTTACCCCATCCCACCACATCAATGGGGACAAGAATTGGTCAGTATTTTGGTAGGGGTTGAAAACCCTAGGGTTTGGTTCTACAGAATTAAGGTACATCTCAACAGTGAGTACATCACTTCACATACTATTGATTGGTCTTTGGTAGGGGTTGAAAATTGTGGGGTTGGGTTCTCCGGAATCCCGGTACATCTCACTGTGAGTACATCCCACCACTTCCATTTGTTGAAGAAAGAATTGGTCTTTTGGTTTGGGTTGAAAACCGTGGGGTTGGGATCTACAGAATTCCAGTACATCTCACCGTGAGTACATCCCCCCACTTCCATTTGTTGAAGAAATGATTGGTCTTTCGGTTTGGGTTGTGTTGAGCTCTCGGCGTATTGATATACATCCTTATGGAGGTCTTCCACTAGGAAATCTGGCGTTTTGAGTTGCTCATCTTGCTTCTTTTGGTTGTTGTTAGTTTGCTTATTATGCTGGTCCTTGCTTTTTCCAGCAGTATCCTCCATACTTGGCACGGGTAGTCTCAGTCACAGAGTGTTTTGTTCTTGATCGGTTTTAAGAGAAAGAAATGGGATCGATACACTGGGTTAAAAGCACGGGGAAATGCTTCCGACACAGTTCCTTCTGATAAACCGGAAACAGAACAAATGTATCAAGGAGTAGAATTGCCAAGATATGAATGAGGAGTTCACAYAATTAGTGGCCAAATTTAGCGAGCAGCGTCCGTTTGGGGGTTGAGTCAAAGTAGTCATTACACGATGAAAAGATGGCAGAAAATCCCCGCACAGTACAAAAAACACATAGAGAGTTAACTAGGGTACAACTCACTCTAACAGCTATAATTTGGTCCCCCTTAACAATGATAAGCACATGGTTGAAAAGAGAATTGAAAGAGCATTCTAATGGCGTAGGGGAGAACGGCGTACGTTGAATATTGATCGATATTCATGTACGTATATCCATATTCAAAAATGTACGATAATTTATAATTTCGGCCGGAGAAGCGTGGCCCATGCTATGATATTTTTTTTTGTTCAGTCCGTCGAACCTATCAACTACAGAAAACGATCTTGCGAAAATGATCTCTTGAAAATGATCTCTTGAAAAGAATGATATCACCGTTGGGCTTCTGAAATCTACAATCATGCTATCGATCGGGAACTTGACAGCGTCTCCGGGTCAAAAAGTGTCGGGCAATGTTCCGATACAACGATCACCGTCGGCAACAGGTGGCGCGACGAATAGCAGCAACAACGCCACGACGCCACCGACAACGGCCCAAGGCGAGAGCGAGAACAACAGCATTTCTTTGTTCATTCCAATGACGATCGTGAGGGGATTGAATGACGGTCCGACGCTCGTGGTGCTGAGCGGCGTCCATGGTTCCGAATATGTCCCCATTCGAGCGACACAAAAACTCGCAAGGGAACTGGATCCGTCCGCCATCAGAGGCACTTTAGTCCTGGTTCATATTGTGAACCTACCGGCCTACTTGGGACGAACGGTCTACACCAGTCCAAACGACGGAAAGAATCTCAATCGGGTGTTTCCGGGAAGTGCGGACGGAAGCCCCACCGAACGAATCGCGGATTTTCTCGTGAATGAAATCTATCCCCTGGCCGATGGTCTGCTGGACATGCATTCCGGGGATGCCAACGAGCAGCTGGGCCCATCCTACACCGCTTACTACGGGAAGGCGGGTTCGGAAGACATCATACAGAAGTCAAAAGATATGGCCTTTTCCTTTGGCCTGGGCCTGGTGGTGGAGTTTCAGTGGGAGTTGCAGGGGAACAGTAGCAAGGTCAGCACATTTTCGGGAGCCATCTGGGCCGGTTCGGCGGCCGTCGTTCGTGGCATCCCCTCCATCGACGTGGAAGTAGCGCCGGGAATGGGAGCCGCTCCGTCCGGATCTATCAATGATGTTTACCAAGGTGTACAAAATGTCATGGGGCATCTTGGAATGTTTTTGGAGGAGAACGCAACAACCTCGAATGACACCGTGGAAGATGATCACCCATGCCTCGTCACGAACAGGCGCTTCATCGATGCACCGACCGAGGGGAGTTGGGTTGCGTTGGTGAACACAGGAAGCTTTGTGAAAGAAGGCACGCTTTTGGGAACAATCACTGACTTTTCCGGGCGTAATACCATCTTCGAGGCGAAGGCGCCGTGCGACGGGCTGCTCTTGATTCGATTCGAAACTCCACCCGTCCTTGCCGGAGATACGGTGGCCGTCATTGCTGTCCTGGACGGGGATTCTTGTGACCAACTCAGATCAGGCGGCCAATTTCGATTGGATCCATCCAAGGTCGGAGCCCTTGTGCTCTGGCAGTGGAGTGCCGCCATTGGGTGGCTGGTGGCATTAGGACTTAGCATCATTTTCAGGAGGAGTCGACGAAACGGATTATACCGGGAACAACCTGCTCACCAGGCAGTGCCAGTGGAGGATGGTTCCATGACATGATCTTGAATGGCTGGAGTGGTCCTCCAAGTTCTCCTGATAGATCTCGGATTTGGCGTAAAGTTTGCACGAAATAACGTGCACTTTGTAGTAGTAGTATTCTTTAGTAGTGTTTATTAGATTGCTCTAATTAGGATTGTGAGACTAACTAATGGGTCATTCCCGATAACATTTATCTGTGTAAATTTTGGCACGCCCGGCTCGCATTATGACCCAAAATACATAAAAGTTGGTTGTAGTGATCCCCCGGCAACCAAGAAATATGTAATTTACATATTTTTGAATTGGAATCCTTG